ATGAAGTGGTACATTTGGCTGGGTATTTGTGGAGGTTTTGGGGGAATTTGAATTTGGTCAGGGTTGGGAGACAAAGGGGTGTGTGTGGGGTGTGTCATTTGGAGTTTTGTTGTAGGTTTGTTGTGGGGATTGGATGTATTATTGTGAAGGAAAATATCCCTGGGCATCTTGGTTTATAATTTGAGTGTATTGGGGAACATAATGGGGACCATGCTGGGTGTGTTTTTGGACACTTATTTTCGGCATTGTAAAATAAGAAGAAAGGGAAATTGTGGCTTGGTTTTCTTTGGATTCCTGGGAATGGATGGTGAAGTGCTGGGATTGGTTATTAATGTGGTGATGGGTTGAGGGAAAGTATGGTTAGGGTGCATGGTTTGATGATGATTTCATTCCAGAGGGGGTCATAACACTTGGACATTATTCCACTGATTTCCTTAAGGACTTGAGGGTGATTTATGGTGCTCTGGGATATATCATCTTCATTGCCTACTCTTAGAGTTAATTCTCCGTCGTGCAGATTAATTAATGCCTTTGTTGTCGCAAGGAATGGTCGCCCTAGTAATAGCGGCTTTTCCTTATCTTCTTCCATATCCAATACCACAAAATCAGCAGGAAAGATGAACTTATTTACCTTCACAAATACGTCTTCAATCACCCCCCTAGGGTAACGAATAGAGCTATCTGCTAATTGAAGACACATTTGAGTAGGTTTAAGTCCAGTCAATCCCAACGCCTTCATGATAGAGGACGACATTAAATTGATCTAGCTCCTAGGTCAGCTAGAGCGTCTCCAAAGGTTCTATCGTTGACGGAGCAAGGGATGATGAAACATCCAGGATCCTTTCGTTTTCTAGGCATTTCCTCAAGTGCAGAGCATTCAGCGTTCAAACTGACAACTGGGAATTCGTCCCAATCCCTCTTCTTAGTTACGAGGTCCTTTAAGAATTTACCGTATTTGGGCATCTCAGTTAACACATCTACCAAAGGCATTTTGACCTCAACTTGGCCAATGACGTCGAGAAACTTTTGGAAAGCTTTCTCGTCCTTGCTCTTTTTAACCCTAGTAGGGAAGGGAATAGTGTTTAGCTAAGTTTGTCTGGCTAGTTGGGGTTGGTTGGAGGGGGTTTCTTCCCTCCTCGTCTCTTGGGGTGTGGATTCAGACTTCTTTTGAGAGGTTGTTCCTATAGAAGTATCCACAGGGACTTCTTCTATATCGGCTTCGACTTCCGGGCCTTGAAGCTCTTTACCACTTCTTAAAGTTATGGCCCGAAGTTGTTCCCTTGGGTTTGGTTCAGTGGTAGCTGGGAGGTTCCCTTGTTCTCTAACTCCAAGTTGTTTAAACACTTGTTGGAGTTGCTTATCACGGGTCTTGTCACGTTCCTTCAAATCATCTGCCAGATTGTTCATCTTCTGCATGTACTCCATCATCAACTTTTCCATCCTTGCCAAAGAATCTTCTTGCGGAGGTTGGCGATTATGAGGTGGAACGTAGGGTGCGCTGTTATTTTGGTAATTAGTTTTATTGTTATTCCAATTACCCTGTTTATAGTCATCCCTAGGACGATTGTTTCTTGGAAAGTTGTTTCTTTCCCGCCATTGCTCCTGATTGTTTTGGGCCCAAGGCCCTTCCCCTTTATTCGCGTATTGTACTAGATTAAGGTCTTTAGCCTTACTCGGATGGGGTGGTTCAATCAAGGGACAAGCAGAGGAAAGATGATTTTGAAAGCAATGCTCACAAGACAAGACAAGATCGGACTGGTGGTGACTACCAGAACCATAGATTTCAGCTTGATTCACCGGTTCAGTATACAAATTAGGACGTGGATGGGAAGCTCCTAGGTGTTCCTTGATAGTTTGTTTCACGATGCTCTCCATACTAGCCTTGAGGGCTGTGAATTGGTCTAATTCATACATGCCAGCTTTAGGAGGAGGAGCTCGGTCTTCATACCAATATTAAGCATTCGACGTAAGTCTATCTACTAACTCCTCATTCTCCTCAGGTGTCATCTCCAGAAAAGAACCAAGTTTAGAAGAGTGGTCCAATTCCTTCTTAGATGGTACCGTTAAGCCTTGGTAAAAGTAGAACATCAAACTATCGGAATTGTTGTACCCGAGACCCGGGGTGGTCTAGGATATCAATTTAAGAAGTGAAAGAAGAAGAGAAGGTGTAGAAATATAGGGAAGGCTGAATTCAGGAGAAAAACAAGGGAGAGGGAAAGAAGCATTTATCATGTGAATAATAAGAGGAATCACACACACTTATCTTCACTCGGGTTAAACTCTAGTATTTAAATAAGGAATCACTCAACTTATTTAATATATCTAGAACCTAAAACTCCCACTTAAGAGAACCACTCTTAAGATATAGAATTAGGATTTAATATATAAGATTTAGAAAGAGAGAGAGCTGAGCAAGAAACTTATATTATCACAATATATATTTTACAAGCTCCTTAATACAATGAACCAGGGCTGAAATATATAGGCCATGGAATGGAGAAACAATACAACAAACATGATTACTTGATAAATAAAATACAACAAAGGAAACTTCCCACTTCTTTCCTACAAAATAAAACAAATGCTGTGCATGTGTTAATATCCCAAATGAGTTGAATTCAAGGCTAATGATCAGGGATTTGGCATGTATTTTGGGTGGTCTTAATGTATGATTTTCGTCCTTAAGGTGGGAGAATAAAGGAAACAACATGGCTTGACTTTTAGTGAGTAATAGGACAAGATATTACTATTCAATCAAAGACTTTTTGGGCAGGCACATGGATGAGGGATTAAGCTTTGTTTTGTATTGTAAAAGCCTTTGATTTTGTTGAGTAATAACATGGGAATTTCGTCCATATATAGTGGGAATGGTATGTAGCCAAGTGTGTTCCTAAATGACAAAACCTTTACTGTTAATTCAAAGACCACTTTACTGATTTCTGAGTT